TTCTTTCTTTTCATTTCATTCTTTTTTCCTTTATTTTCATTCCTTTTCTTTGTTTCGTTTTCTTATTTTTTTGTTTCTTTCTTTTCATTTCATTTTCTTTCTTTCTTTCTTTTTCTTTCTTTCTTTCTTTTTCTTGATCATTCACTTACTTTTTCTTTCTTTCTTTCTTTTCTTTCTTTTGATTTCCTTCTTTCTTTCTTTTTAATTTCGTTCTTTTTTCTATTTTCATTTCCTTTTCTTTTGTTTCGTTTTCTTATTTTTTGTTTTTCTTTTCTTTTCATTTCATTTTCTTTCTTTCTTTCTTTCTTTCTTTCTTTCTTTTTCCTGATCATTCACTTACTTTTCTTTTCTTTCTTTCTTTCTTTTTTTTCTTTCTTTTGATTTCCTTCTTTCTTTCTTTTCATTTCATTCTTTTTTCCTTTCTTTTCATTCCTTTTCTTTGTTTCGTTTTCTTATTTTTTTGTTTCTTTCTTTTCATTTCATTTTTCTTTCTTTCTTTCTTTCTTTCTTTCTTTCTTTTCTTTTCTTGATCATTCACTTACTTTTCTTTCTTTCTTTCTTTCTTTCTTTTGATTTCCTTCTTTCTTTCTTTTAATTTCGTTCTTTTTTTCTTTATTTTCATTCCTTTTCTTTGTTTCGTTTTCTTATTTTTTTGTTTCTTTCTTTTCATTTAATTTTTCTTTCTTTCTTTCTTTCTTTCTTTTCCTGATCATTCACTTACTTTTCTTTCTTTCTTTCTTTCTTTCTTTCTTTCTTTCTTTCTTTCTTTTGATTTCCTTCTTTCTTTCTTTTCATTTCATTCTTTTCCTTTATTTTCATTCCTTTTCTTTGTTTCGTTTTCTTATTTTTTTGTTTCTTTCTTTTCATTTCATTTTTCTTTCTTTCTTTCTTTCTTTCTTTCTTTCTTTCTTTCATAACACTTACAACTGATTTAACGGATCAGAGATTACCGATCGAAATGTTATGATTTATTTGAAGGTCAAACAAAAGTGAATGGTCCAGTGTGAAGAGAATTCCACAATCTTGAAAATTCATCAAGAAAAAAATCCCCCCCCTAAAAAAAAACAAAACAAAACAACAATCACATTGCTTTCTTCTGTGGCTAGCCGTCTTTTTAAAAATTCATTTTAAGTGAGCGAATGCCAGTAACCGACTTGATCCCGTTGACTAGTGACCATCTCGTTCCAGTGTTCCAATTCTTTTCCGCGGGCAAACATGAAAGATCCAAGGACAACTCGACCAATAACTTTATCTGTAAAGATAAAATTAATTAAATACTATTAAATAATTAAAATACAATTAAATACGATTTTGTTGTCAATTTTATGGATAATTTTATTATTTTTTTAATCGGTATCATCGATTAAAAAAGGGGAAAAAAAGCAAGGCCGTAAAGCCACTAAGACACACGAGAGTATAGGGCGTGGAAGAATTAGGAACATAAACATTAATAATGAGCGGAAAGAGAAAAGAATAATCAGGAAGAGAGTAGATAGCGATTGACATTGCATTTAACTTTGTAGAGATTAAAGTTGGCTGGAAAGGATGGAGCCAGAAGGGAATTCCACAAGCGATAAGTACGAGAAATGAAACTGTTAGCATAGAAATTACGGCTACATCTAGCCAGCTCAACTTTAAATAGACGAAATCTCGACGCTGGTCTAGTACTTCTGATTACATTTTTTAAAAAAGTCTAGGTACCATATTACCCAGAGTTCATCCGAACAATTACCATGAAATTATTTATAGAAGTCACAGAGAGGCGACATTACAGCGACGGGAAATGACTGAAGCCGAGCAGCCAAGCAAGACCAATAATATTGCTGATTCTGCTTTGGATTTTATCAAGGAGCTCAAGGAAAATGGCAGGGGTAGCGGACCATATGGTAGACTTATAGTTATGCAAGATAATTGTTATGGGGTCCACCCCTTTTTCATACAAGTGGACTCGACCAGTGGGTATTTGTACTACTGCCGATGAATACCCGGAAGTCGGAAGTGGTAGAGAAATTGAGTAATAGTGTGAGGTAACCGCTTTGTAGGAGTCACAGTTGCAAGCACGTAGACTCAGAAAGATGTCATACTTCGATATTGAATTTCCCAGACTGCATATATATTATTATTGCTACTAACCGCATTTCTGGATCTACTAACCGTATTACCAATTGTATTATTACGTCAATACATTTATTTGCTATATTTCATTCCTGCGTTTGTCATTCATTTGAGACCGGATTTCATCTCGGAATCTGCAACAATAATTGTGGAGAGAAGTAAATAAAATAAGAATCTAAAGACTGAGTAGGAACACATTCCTGATGAAGCCCGTAGGATATATCTTCCGAGATCTGGTGTCAGCAACCACAAATAAAAGAAATATTTGGAAACTGGTGTCTTATATTTTAGTTTCGTCCAATAACGCCAATTGTTTCAAAGCCAAATCAGTAACCCTGGACACACGAGTTAGGTAGTGAAATAGTCTTATCAGATCGAGAATTTCATATTGATATTACGCATGATGCCAAACCCGTTCAGAAATCTCTTACGACCTTAATAATTACAACCGCTTTCTAAGATCAATGGCGAAATGGTTTTGAGCGAGTGAAGCCTATACGTCACGGCGAAATTCATTCCTCTTCAAATCTTGTGGACTGACGCTAAAGAATCGCAAACCACGAAAGGAAAGAAAGAAAGAAAGAAAAAGAAAAAGATCGATGTGTTTAAAAAAAGTTGTCAATTTCAAATCTTTTCATTTGTACCCCCTTACTTCTTTAAAGAAATACAAGCATTCATATTTATGATTGTTATTGCAATATTTTGTTAAAGTTGTTAAGCTCAAATATCTAACAATGCGATAAGGGAAATTCTACGTATATTTTATTACCGTAGAACTCGTCATGAGCTTATTCAGTCACTAACGTAAGAATTAAAATTAATTATATAATTAAAATAGTTACTTGTAATTTTCAGCCATACGTGATACGTTCTTGGATGATCCTGTTATTTTGATGCATGATTGACTAGACAGAAGATTTTCTAGTAGTAGGTTGCCATTTCTTTCTGCGATAGACTGGTTGATAACCAAGGCTAAAGGACCCCAGTCTGTCTTGGTTCAACACATAACTGGGGGAGTAGCGATGGATTCATACCTTTTCAAATGGTATTTGCGAGTAAGTGGCTGTAATAAACCCTACTGGATTTCGAACTCGGCTCCCAGATTTTACTTGTCATGCTGTTATGCATTACACCACTCCACACCGACCATCCACGTCTAATACTGCTAAATTGAAAAGAATTGAAATTAAGATCAAAGAAATACCAATGTAGAATAAATAATGCTCGACTTGACGTTGTAGGGAGACCATATTTGTTTTCCCTTGTGTTGAGCTCATGGGAATTTGACACCTTTAGAGAAGAGAACTCTTCTGTCCCTTTTATTTTTGGCTTCCGTTTTTGTGTGTGGACGCCCTGGGGGTCAGGAAGGTAATCCTGACCACCAGGGCGTCCACACACGTGGAAACTGGTCAACATTTGCACGGCCTAGCGAAAGAAAAATGTAATTTCTATTCACTTATCCGCGGACGATCAAAGGCCATAAAGTTGGTAAGTTATTTCTTTGTTCTTGGTTTGTAAACCTATTCGTTCCTTTGAGACAATATGAACAATCATTTGTTTTGGGACTGATGTAATGAATATGCATACACCTGGGTCCCCCCTCTGTTGTGGTAGGATCCACCTAATTTGCATAGTGGAGTACCGATCATATAAATATGGTTGGTACCGGGAAGAGAGGGAGGAATCAAGAGATTCAACCAGAGACTCTGTCCGACTGCGACTCAGTCAACACATTCTCCAGGAACGGTCTTACCAGGAATATACAAAAGACTATATGTAAATATTGTGTACACTTTCTTGTTTCAATACATTTTGTTCTAAGTACATTTTGTGTTGCATTATTATTCCATGCATTAGTCAAGTTTCAACACCCTCACAGTAATATGATTGGCTGGTGTCAGCCATAAATACAGGCTGATGTGGAGGCACAGGTCGATGCCTATTGGTTACGCCTATTGTCTTCGCCTATTGCCTACCACTACGACGAGGACCAGTCCATTACGGTTATCTGCTAGATTGTCCTACTCGGTAGTCAACAACTAATTTTGCTACTTCGAACAAATATATACCTTTCCGGGACATATCAGGGACATATGTAAATCCTTTTAATATATGTATATAAGTTGTTTGCCTTATTATATGTTTTGTTTGTTATGCTCGCATATTTCGTCTTTCTGTATTCGCATTCAGTGTTAGTGTATCAATGGCTTCACTAATGCTAATATTAATATCGGTATGCTACTGGAAGTCTAAAACACGTTATTCTTCCTAACACAAAATAGTCAGTAAACTCTGCGTGACCGATAACCTATACTAATACTGACATTGTAATAAGAATATTTCAGGAGATATTTCCATATTTGCTGTACTAAAAAGAACCTTCACAAAATAATAAGTAGAACAATGGCGGATACGTGACCGAATGTGTCATTCTTGGATTCATTTCAGTTGACAATTTTTACGCGACATCTTCGCAACTATTAAAGGAATCTCTTCTGAACTCATGCAACTTACAGATACGTATCATGAGAATTATACATCCAACACGCATTTAACTCATACAGTTTTGTTAAGTGCATACATTCAAGTTAACTTCCTCGATACGCGAATGTTGTAGCAGAGATGTTTAGAAAATGATGGTTTGAAAGCATTTCTTTCTGTAATGTCTATAATTACGAAGAATACTGCCGACCTATACCAACCTTTGGTACTCGTAAAGTGGTTCATTGCGGTGACGCTGATGCTTGCAGTGTCAAGAGATGAAGAAGACAGTTTGAAGGTGAAAGATTCGCTGAAGTTCGGGTCGAAAGTACGTTTTACGACGGCCGTCTTCTTAGTTTTGATGACCTTGTTTTGGATTAGCAGGCAGACTTTGACGTAAGATTCTGAAGGAATAAAAGACGAAAGTTCCTGAGAAAAAAAAAAAGACTAGAATCGTTTGAGAAGTTTTGAGCTGGTTTACTGAGAAAGGAACCAAAGTCAACTTTGGTGATAAAAAACGAAAAACTAAGAAGGAACCGTCAAGTAAAATAGAGGGAGAAGAAAGAAAAGAAAAGAAAAGAAAAGAAAGAAACAATAAAAATAATTAAGAGTAGGAGGTAAGTTGAGAAAGAAGGAGGAGACAAAAAATGAAGAAATACAATATGAAGGAAAAAAGAAAGAAAGAAAGAAAGAAAGAAAGAAAGAAAGAAAGAAAGAAAAAAATTGAAAGAGAAGATAGTGAGAGTGAGGAGGAAGAGTGGGAGGAGAGAAAGAAATATAAATGAAGGGGAAAAGGGTCAGAAGAAAGAAAGAAAGAAAGAAAGAAAGAAAAGTGAACAATGAAAAAGAATAAAAACGTGAAGATAGAAAGGAAAGAAAAAAATGAAAAACAATGCGGAAGAAATATAAGATTAGGAGAAAGAAGAAAGAAAGAACGAAAGAAAGTATATGAAGGAGAAGAAGAAAGAAAAATAGCGGAGAGAAAATATTGGAAAGGAGAGAAAAAGGAAGACAGAAAAAGTAAAGATAAGAAATAAAAAAGAATGTGAAAATAGCATAGCGTAAAAGAAAGAGAGAAAAGAAAGAAAAATAAAACAAGAGGGAGGAGTAGACGAAAGAAAAAAAGTAATGAGAAAGAAATAGAATAAAGGAAAGAGAGGGTGGAAGAAAAAAAAAGAAGAAAAAGAATTAGAGTAGCAGAAAGAGGAAAGAAACTTTAAATCTTTTTTTTTTACTTTTTCTTTTTCTCCTTTTTCTTATTTTCATTTAATCTTTCTTTTTACTCTTTTGTTTTACGTTTCCCTTGTTTCTGTTCTTCAATGTTTTTCCTCTTTATTTTCAAACAAAATCGTAATCAAATTCTAAACAACTTTTTTCAGCCTCTCTAAATTATCAAAAAAACAAAAAAATCAAAAACAAAAACAAAACTTATAACAAAATGTGAATTAAAGTTAATTCCTTACCAAAGTTAGTGATTCCTTCCAACTTCTTCAATCCTTTGGCTTCAAAAATTCCGATAGTAAGGCGCTCCAGGTGACTGTTGTACGACAAGGCAATGTAAATCTCACCCTTGTCTGATGTCGACTAAGGATATAAAAAATAGAAAAATGAATCATATATTTAGAAATAATCTATAAACGTGTGCTGGATTTAGCTAGAACGGAAAATTATATGATAATTTATTCTCTTTACAGGCAGACAAGTTTCTTCATCATCGTTGTCGTTATCACGACGTTTCGGCCGTTTTTCCCTCCGGCCTTCATCAGGCATATATTAATCTCGGTAACCTAAGAGGAATTCCGAACTGAACTCTTTTTATTCAATCCACAGTAGACTGTATTCGTTTCACTGCTCAGGACATACCCACTTAGCAATCCTGTATAGGACTGGGTTTTCGGTTGCATATAAAGCCTATTTCCAATCTAACGTCTCCACCTAAAACTCTGAAATTTTATTTACTATTTATTTACTTTTTCTCTTCAATAGAAATATATAGGTTTGCCTATCGTCCTGTTCACGTTTCTCACGCGTTTTTTGTTCCTTGTTTGCTATTTAGGATTGGGTCTCCAATTCCTTCCAAAGTATTTTCCTTCTCTTTCACTACCATTGGATCCCTTATGATTTGGTGGCATTATCTCCTTGATTGGTGTGTTTCTTACTTTCTAACTGTTGTGGTAGGATCCACCTAATTTGCATAGTGGAGTACCGACCATATAAAGATGGTTGGTACCGGGAAGAGAGGGAGGAATCAAGAGATTCAATCCGAGACTCTGCCCGACTGCGACTCAGTCAACACATTATCCAGGAACGGTCTTACCAGGAATATACAAAAGACTATATGTAAATATTGTGTACACTTTATTGTTTCAATACATTTTGTTCTAAGTACCTTTTGTGTTGCATTATTATTCCATGCATTAGTCAAGTTTCAACACTAACCCTCTAACTTGAGATGTTCTTCAGCCTTGTACAGGTCGAACGTCATTTTTGTTTTTAAAAAAAGAGCAAGCATTGATGGCTACTAAAAAAAAAAAAATTAAACGAATGCAAGAACAATCCGGTGGGTGATGAACACTTAGTGTCAGAGAAATTGACATGATACGTTAGGCTGCTGTTATTGGCTACCCTTGCATTACTTATCAGATATGATCTTATCTGAGAAAATACTGAAAAGTAGATCGTTAAATAATGTCAAGGTTTTAAATGATTGCAACAAAACTAAAATGACTTTACCTCCGAGACTTCTTTCTCCAGATCTCTCCAGATGACCATTCTGACATTATTGTCAAAATCATACTCCTTCAAGGGAAACAGGGCGTGGCCAATAACATTGTGACGTTTGTGACGGTCGACATCAAACATTGTAAACTTTAAGACTCGATCATCAAATGATTTGTGCGAAACCTGAAAGAATAATAAGAGAATATATATATATATATATATATATTTATATATATATATATTATTATTATTAGTAGTAGTAGTAGCAATCTTATAAGTATAAGAAATTATACTCGTTCGGAAAACCTTCGGTGTCTTGATTTGCAAATAATCAAACAAATACCAAAGGGAAAAAAGGTATAAAAAAAAGAAAGAGCCGAAAATAATCATCCAGCATGCAAGTCCAAAGCCCAAAGAAAAAAAACCGATACGAGTGAGCAAAATAAGTAAATAAAGTGCTCAATACAGTAAGTAGAGCAGACCTAGTTAAATCTAGAGAGCCAGACAAACCTAAGTTTCAACTAAGCGGATCGTCAAGCAAGCCAGCCTTCCCTGACGATCCGCTTAGGTGAAACTTTGTAGGTTTGTCTGGCTCTCTAGTTTTAACTATATATATATATATATATATATATATATATATATATATATATATGTGTGTGTGTGTGTGTGTGTGTGTGTGTGTGTGTGTGTGTAATTATAAAAGATTTTGGGACAGAGTTTAATTATCCCGGGAAAAAGTAAATACACGTATAAAGAAGTGAATTTTACCTTCTACAATCTATACTTCTAACGTCTCCACCTAAAACTCTGAAATTTTATTTACTATTTATTTACTTTTTCTCTTCAATAGAAATATATAGGATTGCCTATCGTCCTGTTCACACTCCTCATCCGCTTTTGTTCCTTGTTTGCTGTTTAGGATTTGATCTCCGGTTCCTTCTAAAGTATTTTCCTTCTCTTTCACTACCGTACGATTTGGTGGCATCTCCTTTATTGGAGTGTTTCTTATTTTCTAACCCTCTAACTTGAGATGCTCTTCAGCCTTGTACAGGTAGAACATCATTTTAAAAAAGAGAAAGTATTGATGGTTACTAAAATAAATTGGATTCTAGTAGGCATATTTGTATCGATCTGGTAGTATCCGCGTGTAAGTTTCCTAAATATGGTAGTGAGATGTAGGCCTGTCTGTGTTTGTCTATCAGTATTTGGTGTACGTGTGTCTATAGACGACATTTTAATTTCTGCCCAATCGTGCCCGTTTGTTGGTCGGAGATATTTGATGTGGAAGCGAATTACTTGGGTTACATCGGCGCAAATATGTAAATCTTTAAGTATGGATTGCATGAATGTTGGTGATATGAAAAATTGAAAACACCTTTCCATCGATAAACACACGCCAAATATGGTGTATATTTATCGATGGAAAGGTATTCATTAGTATCCCTTCTGAGTATTTTCTTTGTAGTAAAGCACATTCATTTCTTTACTTCGAAGAAAATATTTTTCTTCTTTTATTATATAATATATATTCTTCTAACATGAATATGTACAAGATGCGATGGATAAATTGTCTAAATTATGAAAAAAAAGGGAAATAACGCTGACATCTCATTTTAGCCGATGTACAGGGTGCGATGGATAAATTGTCGTCTAAATGAGGCAAAAAATCAGTATAACACTGACATACTTGAAATACTAAAAAAGCAAATTTATTCAGTAAAATCGTCATTGCCTGCAAGCAGGGACTCAAGACGATTTCGGAATCTCCTGCAACTCATCTGGACAGTTTCCTTGTTTAAGTTGGTTAATGCTGCTATAATTCTTGCCTTCAGTTCATCTTTGGTGTTACAAAGTGTTTTATTGGTCGCTCTCACAACTGCACCCCACACATAATAATAAAGGGGTTTGCAGTCTGGGGAGTTAGGTGTCCAGATATAAGGGGTGTTGGGGTTGCAGAAACAGTTCGACAGCCATGACTCGGTTCTTCTTGTGCGGCATGGTGTAGATTCCTAAGACATGGAATCTTCCAGCAGCTACCTTCTTGACCAGGGCAACACTACCTCCTCAAGGTATTTGATGAACGTCTCCCTGTTGAGTCTAAAGCCCTAAGCAACGAATTCGGGAGTTTTTTTTTATCAGAATGATCAGAGTGAGATTTCCAAGTTCCTATACCTTCGTAATCACTATTAGACACATCCAACTCTTTCTCGATCCTCTGAACTATCCGAAACGCTCAGAAATGTTTGCATTGGAGCTTTTGATGCGAATGCCAAGTAGAAGAGCATGCCGTTTCCAATTTTCTAGCAGAGTGAATTGCGTCATGGTGGCTTTTTTCTCACAGATGGTGTCCAACTGACCTTACTATAGTGGGCAGTCGACAAAATCAAAAACAAACTACGCGCATGCGCAAAAATTAAAAATATAAAATGCCGACAATTTATACATCGCACGCTTTTTTTGAAGCGATCGGATGTCTAGTCACACTGATGCGCTGTGATACAACGAAACAAACTGTCTGTAGATGATGTCTACATATATATATATATATATATATATATATATATATATATATATATATATATATATATTCATGAATTATTCACACAAAAACAAATGCAAAGGTTAATGATTTAATTGGCGAGAAATCCATCATCGCAAACAATTCAAATAATATACAAAACCTCCGAATCCGTTATATACATGTGTATATATATATATATATATATATATATATATATATATATATATATATATATATATAAAAATTTTTTTCTGACATCTTAATGTGCGGGTAAAGTAACGGTTATCACCGGGGAATATGGAATCGCACAGCCGAGTTCAAATTTTGAAATATGCTGTTGCGTTCACTTTCTCACAAATACCATTCGTAAACATAACACGCCATCTCATCTGCTCCATTATTATTAGTAGTAATCAGTAGATGAACTGCGATGCACCTTATATGAGTTATTATTCTCTTTATAAAAGTCATTTTGATTTAATATAGCACTGTATTAATGTTTAGTTAGTATTATTAACACCTTGCATTGATTAGTTAGTATTATTAACACCTTGCATTGATTAGTTAGTATTATTAACATCTTATATGCATGCTCTTTACTGAACGGTTGCATATTAATTTGCCAATGTAGTTTTGTATTTATGATCAGTTTTTTTTTCAAACTGTTATTTACAAGTTTCTTATAGGGACATTTTATTTATCAAATAGAAAATTTTATATAGGTAGCTGACCAGTTAGCATTTTGTTAAATTACCTTTTTCTACTCTTTCGCTTTTACTTCTTAGGAAAGTTGAACGCTAGACTTCTATACACTTTCGGAAAAAATGTAACCATCTGTGTCTGTTCATAATGAAATTGTCTAGGCTTTATAAGCAGACAATTACAATATAGACCAATATAATAGAAAAAAAACAAAAAATTCGCTGACTTTGAATTCAGCACAAGTCACATTCGATTGGTTAATTAGGGTAAAGCTCACAAACCTGTTTTTTAATTGTGTGGTTTTTATTGTATTTTTTACTCGAGAAAAAAGAGGAAATATTCTAGTTTTTGACATTAAAATAATCTTTCACTGGCCAGTGGTTTACCATCGCCCGAGGAGACACATTTGTAGTGTTGAAACATAATTGTAATTGTGTAGTGATTGTTAACGTGCTTTTGTTTTAATATCCTAAAATAAATAATATTTATCTCTACATTGGATTGAGCCCTCTTTTAAATTAAATGTTATGAATAATCGAAAATTATATTCCATTTCTTCTTATTTTACCTCAATATATATATATATATATATATATATATATATATATATATATATATATATTATGTATGATTCCTTCACTACATAAGAGTTCTCATGTTTCAAAAACAAGAGCGGAAAACTTCAATATAATTATTAAAATTAAATTGAGTTAAAGTATTAAGCCCTGTTTCATCTTCAAGCGAAAATTTTTAATTATAATTTAAGCTCTACTTCTGTATGGAGTACTGTCTTTTTTTTTTCTTTTTTTTAATAAAAACAAAAATATTAAAGAACTCCGGATTATTTACCTAACGTGTTCTTTCCTATTTTCTACATATCTGCACACACACACACACACACACACACACACACACACACACACACATATATATATATATATATACTTCAGATTCCACATTCTTTTTTAGGATTTTTAACTTCTTGCTTTTTTGCCACTAATGTTTCTTCTTGTTTTTCTTTTTCATTTTTTCTTCTTCTTCTTCTTCTTCTTCTTCTTCTTCTTCTTCTTAATGCTTCCCCTTCTTCTTCTTGCTCTTCTTTTTCACTTCTTTACTTATTCTTCTTAACCCTCTGGTTTATCTTCATCTTTTTTCCTTTTTTCTTAATCCTTTCGTTTTAATTTTAAATTGTCTTCTTCTTCCTTTCATTCTTCTTCTTCTTTATATTTCCCTCCTTTTTTCTCTTCTTTTTTCTTCTTCTTAATCCTCACTTCCTCCTCTTCTTTTTTCTTTTTAATCCTCATTTTCTTCTTCTCCTACTTCTTTTTCTTCTTGTTTAAAACTTTCCTTCTTCTTTTTCATTTTTCTTCTTCTTAATCCCTACTTCTTCTTCTTCTTCTTCCGCACTTCTTCTTCTTCTTTTCTTCTTTACAATCTTTTCCTAATTATTACTCCTCCTTTTCAATTTCTCGTCTTTTTCCTTTTCAAATATTTTTCTTCGTCCTTCGTTTCTTCTTTTCATTTCTTGTTGCTCTTCATTCTCTCTTCATCGCATCACTTTCTTCTTTTATTTAAACTCGTTGATTTATAAATTTAAAATAACATCAATAATTCATATTTCCAGGAAAAAATAAAACAAACTTAAAATTTAAAATACGAAATCGTGAAAACCCAGAGTTAAAGATCTTTAACTTCCGAATAAAAAGGTCAATAGTAAATGTTGTTGTCGATTGCCATGGAACTGAGCATTTTATAGCAAACATTTTCCCATACTTTATGCAAGTGAAGAACACTTATGAAAAGTGAAAATCTTCAATGTCAATGGTTTCCTTTTGAAAATGTTATTTTTCCATGTTTCCCCAAAGAACGTTTCCATTTTCATTTCCTCTCATGACTCGAAAATAGTCTTTCAACTACAAGTGTGGTTGGCAAAATGATTGTTGGTTGGTTGATTTTGTTT